TTTATAAGAAAAGTCAAAAAATGGCTCTGTGTTTGTGTGTGATTGAAAACATTGAAGTTGGTTTGCTTTAGTTTGCGGTACTCGAAATGGACCTCGTATTTTCTATTCCCACCAAAACAATGAGAAAAGTCTCTTAAGTTCAAACCGCAATCACATAACCTAACCCTTACAGGACCAAAATGTTGATAAGAGTAAATAGTAATATGTAACTATTTATTTAAGTTTGTTTAAGCATAAAGTAGTTTTTTTTATTTCCAGTGACGGGTACAAGGGACAATGACATAAAAAGTTAATAAAGAAAAATTAAAAGAATTAACAATAAAATAACAGAAAAAATCTATAGACCCATTCGGTCTCTAGCTTTCTAGTAGCGTTCCCATAAACTCTTGGATCATAGCAAAGGGCAGTACAAAAGGTGAGTACAGTTTAGAGTTTCTTAAAGATTACAGAGCACACACAGCGAGGGTCATTAAGAACTTTTTATAAAATGTAAATGCCTAGCTAGGTAGTCATGACCTGTAGCAAGGCGGAATTCTAATACAAATTTCTTTCTAGGACAGATCGAAATATTTTGAATATTTTTCCGCCATGATGTCTGGGAGTTCTTATTTGATAATTCTTTTTTTCAAGTAATTCTTAAAAGATGATCTAATAACTGACTTTGCATTGTGGGAAGGTACTTCATTATTAGCGGTATGAATTACCGCTGCACCGTTTTTAGCCAACAAGCTGAAGTTTTCATTTTCCTCCACCCCGCATTAGGCTGGGATCTTCTGAAGATAAATATTTTTATTTTTGTCGGATCGCGACTGCTAGCGAGACTTGGCAATTTCGAATTACTGCCAAATATGGGATTCTAATTGATTCTAATTGAGTTAATTTCTTCCTAGGTACACATAAAATAAATAAAAGACAAGAAAATTGCAAAACAAGGTGTAGTTTTTTGTGGAGGGATTGAATATAACTATTCCCACAGAATTATTTGTCAGTATTTCATTTGTTCAAATATACTTTACCATTGCACAAAACTATGCTTACCGAATAACATAAGAAACACGCGATACAATTAACTGAAATAATTACTTAATACAGCCAGCGAATATTTTATCATTGGAGCAACTTTATTTGACAGTTATTTTTTTCTTTCTAAAAGCTCCCGTTTACGTAATTGCGTTCGGTATTTATTCTATTTTCACATTCTGCATAAAAAAATGCATAAATAGAAAAATTAAATACAACAATCACCAATTTTAAAAAGGAAGAAGTGTTTCCCTTAGTCATAAAAGGGTGGATGGCAAACTGACTCCACGTGACGACTTTGAAACCGGTCGAAAAATTTCTAAATCATTTCTATTATTATATCCAATGGAATTTTCGATGTAATTAGGATTCATGCAGATGATTCGATAAAAGACTCATTGTATAGAGGGGCCATCGCAGGCTAAATTTGCATACCTCAAAGCAGTGCCGGTTTATCCATTGGGCGCTTGGGGCGGGCGCCAAGCCCGGTGAAGCACAGAAGAGCCCGGATGAGCTGGACTTAACCAGATTTTCTGGTTATAAATTTCAATTATCCAGTGCCAAGGGGGTCTGTAGATCTTCTGCGCCCAGGGCTTGAAATGAGCTTAAATCGGCTCTGGCTCAAAGTCCTCACTTGGCGTAGACATGAAAAGTTGGGAGCTAGCTCAGGTATCCACTTTACTATATAATTGTGTTCAAAATTACGAGGATTTTGGGTTGAAGTTAACAGATTTTTGTGTTGGCCCAAAACAGGTATTCAGTAAATAAACTTCAAAGTAATTGATGGCAGGATGATTGTTATTTGGAGAATATTTATTTATGTAATTCAGAACTTTTTTTGTTGAGACTGAAGGGGGGAAATAGTGTGGAATACTATAGTATTTTTTAACAACAACACACCCTGAAATGAATCAGGGTGATATAATTCATGGTCTAATTTAATAGAAAAATGCTTAAAAAAATTCTAGTATAAATATATGATATATGAAATAATTAAAAAGCAGTTTGATGGAAATATCCATCCTCATGCACATTTACATGTTAAGCTCAGCACAAAATAAATAAATAATATATTCCTGATGATAATTAAAAAAACAATTAGAGTTAATCGAATTTCATCTGCATCGCGTTGCTCGTCGTCAGAAATTCCGTCATCAGGGCCATTTTGTGATAGCCAACCGCCTTCTGTTGTTATTATTACTTAAGCCACCTGATCGACAGCAACACCAAACCAAGGTCCACGAAATTCATCGGGGCTTTACGCCTGTTGTTAGCCTTAGCTTTGAGCACCATGCAGGTGACAGTATGATTTTGCTCTGTTCCACTTCAATTTTGAGAGAGAACACTCTCAAAGAGGCCTCAAACCTCTCTTCCCCTTCCACCAATCTCACGAGAGGACTTGTGGCTCGACGGCTGTTAAGAATACTCCCGTGCCGCAAAGGCACTATACATTTACAAGCATCCATACCTTCTCTAAGATTCAAACCCAGACCGTACGGCACGGCAGTCAGCGACACTAACCACTATACCGAAGGTGGCTACCACCTTCTAACTTCTCCAAGTACTTCACAGTGTCCTCTCTTCTAAATTTCTCTACAAGTATAAAAAAAAGTTTAAGTCAATTCCTACTTAGATCAAAGAAAAATTGTATTGTAGCTACTTTTTATTAAATAGTTACAATTAATATAAATATGTATCTACATAGGACAGAATCACAACATTAGGTGGTAATTAATTTTTATTCATTATCATTAAAGTATCGTATTGCCATCCAAAACAATCGTGTGTATAAAATTTTAGTTCAACTGAATGCTTTAAAACGTTAGAAAAAAAAACCTTTTCAAGTTTTGACACAAGTCGCCAAAAGGGTCACTAAGTCACCACAAATGATGCCAACGTGCTGTATTTGTAATTCTTTGAATAATTAGTTTTAATCAATTAATTTTTATTAATTATAATTAAATTATTGTATTGTCATCCAAAACAATCATGTATATAAAATGTCAGCTCAATTGAGCGCTTTAAAATGTATTTTATTAACGATTGAAAATTCCACCAAGATAAATAAATTAAACAAATAAATAATTAAATATATAGAGATCATGAGCTAATAGTAGGAATTGAAAAATAACATAAAATAAGTAGAAAGTAAAAAACATTTTCGTACTAAATTAAATTCTTATTATCGGGATATATTCGATACATAAATTAAACAGAAAACTATAGAACAAAAAAAAACCTTTTTCCTTACATTGTTACTTTTATTAGCCAAAACAGCTCACAGATTAGTTATAGAAAATCATTCAAGAGAGAATTCACACTTTTTTCCCAACCACAACAAACAGTGGAATGACAAGTTCAAACCCACTATAAGGATTGTGACTTTTGATTTTTTTGACAGCTACATTCCTTATTTTTCAATACTCGTGAAAAAGTTGCCTGCAACATATTTACAGTACACCTATTTTGAGGGCAATTTTTGTTTACTAAATGTCATAACGGGGATTTCCATCATCGAGCAAAGATGGGTTTCAGTATGCGGATAAGACTGGGAGAGACAGAGGACTGTTAAATTCCAAATGGAATTATATTGAAAAGTTTCAACTTTTTCTCATCGACTTACGACCTAAGCGACTGTACGACTATCCGCATTTGCGACCAAAAAAATAAATAGAAAGTGATAAAAAAAACTGTTTTAATATCCATTTACTTATACTGATCACTGTGTTCCCTTTTTTTAAGTAAATGACTAAATAAACGTTTCGCATAATTGAACACCAAGTCGTTTCCCGAAACACTTCTAAAAAAAGCATTTTCTTTTAATCACACGCAACAACATTTTTTTTATATAATTTTATCAAAATAAATTTCAAAAAATGAAAGATTTTCTTTGTCATTTGAAATAAGTTTTATGAAATTCAATTTTAGTTTATAAGTAAATACTAATAAATTATCCCTACAAACACATTTTAATTCTTTATATTATGATATCAATTGCAATAGACTATTCATAAGAAATTATATATAACCTTAAAAATTTATCATAAGAACATTTCTTTTTATTTGCATTTATTTTTATCTACACTACAGTAACACACACGTATTCAAATAATCTAGAAAGGAACCCGAATATTAATTTGTCTTTAGTCTGTAGAGATGATAATATGTTTGATTTTCGGTACACTATATAGTTCAGGTTTGAAACATAATTCTTCCAAACTTTTCTATCAGGAAGTTAATACTAGAGTACCAATCCGAGAGAAATGCATATCAAATTGCTCAGCCGATCACCTCCTGGATTAATATTCGGGTGCACCGTCATTTGTTGTGTAACCGCTGAACTAGCATTTCGGCTTGCAAGGGTTAATGAGTTATGGACTGAGACATTAGTTAGAGTAAGCGGTGCAAAGAGAAGTGTGAAGTGTGTGTACCTTTAAACAAATGAGTGGAATGAAAGGAAAGGTAAAGTGTTGAGACAAGGTTGGGAAAGTTTGCTGAGAGGTGAAAGTTGGTAGCATCATTTAAATTTTGAGAGATGTAGTTTTGCCTCAAGATCAATATAGGTTATTAGATGCATGAGGGAAAGAAGTCATTTCGATTTAGATTTTCAAAGGAGAATTAGGTATAACTTTTCAAATTTTTGTAATTTTTTTTAGGTTTTGTGTGAAATATTTTTCAATTCCTACTATTCGTTCACTCCTTCCCTATATATATATATATATATATATATATATATATATATATATATATATATATATATATATATATATATATTGTTCAAATTTTCATTTGTTAATAAAATACTTTCTATTCATGCATTCAAGTTTTAATGCATTTTTTAAACTTGTAGTAGATGACACATGATGTTAATACAGTTTTTTTCAAATATTAATTCATTAATTAAATTAAAAAATGAGTAAATAGTAGCAAACAAAAATTGTAATCCAACAGCATATACAGAAAGGAAAAGCACTCTTTACGTTCCTGAAGTGCAATGGATAGCGCATTGGACTTCTAATTCAAAGGCGGTGGTTTCTAATTCCACTTGGGATGGGCTAATTCCTGAGAATGAGATTTATTTTTTTTACTATACTATTTTATTAGTATAATTAAACTTAATTGATGAATAAATAGTAAGAAACAAACAAAATTGTCCAACACCATATATAGAAAGGATAACGAAAAATTGCAAGGAAAATCGCTTTCCATTTTGTCACTTAATACTGTGATTCTGTTATATGTATATACATATTTATAATAATTGTAACTGTTCAAAAAAAGTAACTCAAATAAAATTTTTCTTTGTTTACCTAAGTAGAAATTGACTTAATTTTTTTTATATTATTTGTTTACAATACTTCTATTATTTGGCAGTTTGTCAGCTATAGATATTACTATAGAGTTTAAGTTTTAATGATACTAAAATATATTTAATTATTGCAAAATCCGGGATATAGTGCACACCGGCGTATAATTTGCACCTATACTTTCAAGCAGCAGCATTTTTTAATTTTTTGCTACATTTGCCGTATAACGCGCACCTCCTTTTTTTTATGAAAAAACCCAAAATCTGCATGTGTAAATCTCTTATGTTTTGAAGTCGTTTATTCGAGGTATTATCCCAAGCTTTAGAAAAAATAGAATACTTCTAGAACTACAAATCTTTAAATCCATCATGTATGTCATTTCTTTTAAGTAAACAGTACTTCGTATATGTTGAAGTCTAATTAATGCTCATCTTTTTTTTTTTTTTTTTTTTTTTTACTTTTAAAGCTCTCATTTTTATACCCGGAGTATAATTAATTTCGGTCTTATTTTGTGTGTGTTTAAATTGCGCGTTATATGCCGGATTTTACGGTACTTATTGTAAAGGTTTTGGAGAAACTGTTTAGTATTTTTCAATCAGTGTGTACAGAGAGAAAAGTTTTACTGATCCATTTGCTAGTTTTGTATCTGTTTGTCCGTATCAAGTGTCTGTTATTCCATATCTGTGAAAAGTGTCATTTTGTGCATTTGCATCAATAAAGGTACAATAGCTAATATTTTCCCGATTATTAAATTCCTATCTATGATTATAGAATTAAGACACATTGCGAAAAACATTACTTTCCTTCATAACCAGCATTCATTTCATTGATTTATGTTTTCTCACTTATGAAAATTCTTTCTTCTGATATATATGTTAATAATGTCGTATTCATTTAAATGATTTCAAACGATGACTTAAAAGGAATGTTCTAAGAAAACTTCAAAAAGATATCCATTTTCATTATTTTCCAACTTCGCTACAATTCATTTGTGTAATTCTTAAGATTACACTAACTGTTTTATCATGGTAAAGCTACATTCAGAAAATATTTTTTGAATAAAAGATATGTTCTTTTCCTTCAAAAAAAATGGAATAAACTTACCTTTTATGTAACATAAAAAATATCGAATATATTTCTTGATTTGTTGTTTGTCTTTTTATTTTTCCAATTTATCAATGACAAAATTATTTCAAAGAAAAAATTTTATATTTTTTTTTTATTCAATCACCTTTTTAGGTAAGGAAGAGCTAATTGGATACACGTAAACTTCTCAAAATTTAATAGTTGCAATCCTAATTATATAAGTTTATCTCGTCTAAATTAATATTTCAAAGATGCTGAAGCTACTATTTTGTATAACACAGTGGCGCACACAAGGGGGGTCTGGAGATCCGGACCCCCCAAAGCACTTGATTTTTTTCCGATTGATTATAATTCTAAGTATATAGTACGTAAAATTTAATTCATTACTTGTTATTAATGATTAATTTTATTAATTAATGTTAATTATTTATTCAAAAATTAGTTTTTTACTGTGTTTTGTTCCCGAAAATCGACAAAATCAAAAGGAGCATGATACAAGAGTAGTGAACTTTCGACCCCGGACCCCCCCTCCTTGAAAAATTGCTGTGTGCGCCACTGGTATAACAGCTTTCTTTAGTAATTAAAAAGAAATCTACCTAAGGGCATCTTGTTTAGAATAGGAATGGGCAAATAGCGGCCCTCCGAGATAGGTAGAAAGCAAGATAAACAGAAAGTGCTCTCTATATATTTAGATCAACATATGTTCCTTTGCAAAATTTTTCTTTTCCATACAGATCAACAAGAATAAAAATAGATACAAGTTGGCTGACATTACCTTGCAGGCTTTGATAAAAATTTATAAAGTAAAAATTGTAGCGAATGAGTGAATATTAACGTCGCATTGTTCATCTACACGAGGGCTTTTGGTGAAGGACCTCGTAATTTTGAACCACGGTTAAGTAATGAGGACGAAACCTGAGTTGGAACTCTTTCTCCTAACTTACCCACCATACCAATGGGAGGAAGCGTTTGAGTTCTCGACAGATTTAACGTGCATTGTTCCCCTTGCTCCCCTACACGGTGGGTCTTTAATGGTTCTGGGCACAAGCTCATGACATGCTATCCACGATCCGATGCTTTGGCCACTAGGCTACCGCTGCCACAATAAAGTTGCAGTAAAGTGTAGTAGCGTACATTTGTTTCATTAAACTGTTTCTAAAACAGAATGTGCTTGTAACTGATAGATATGAAATTAGCGCAATAAGTAAAAATTACTGCCACTATTTTATTAAGCTTATATTTATTTATTTTTATATGGAACAATTTATATACTTTTTCTGATATGTAAAGTGAACTAATGATTGCCATCATATTAAAAAGGTACAACCCTCCACTATCCTTCATTTCTGCAATGTGGAAAGCTCACGGTTGCCAAGAGGTCAAGGTAACGGGCTCGTGGCCAGCGTGTCTTAAGTTCGACCCTAGAACCACTAGAGACTCGCCGTGTAGGGGAACGATGCTCATTAAATTTGTCGAGGGTTCAAACGTCCTCCCGTTTGTTTTGTTGTTAGGAGAAGGGGGTGCCAGCTAAAGTGTCGTCGTCGTCATTTGACTATGGTTCAAAATTACGTAGTCCGTCGCCAAAAGTCCTCGAGAAACTGGAACAGTGTGCCGTTAATATTTACTCGCTCACTCTACAATGCGTCCCCTGAGCAGAAAAAATTGCATATCCTTTTACTTTAATGTGTATAAAATCTTTTCATACATATATATTTCTAATAATATATTCTAAATGCAAAGTAAAGAGTTCTTTCTCTCTCTCTCTCTCTCTCTCTCTCCACACAACATAGAAAGGAATATAAATATATGAATGTGTTACAAGTCAGTATCGAGAGTCAGCGGGCAATCGACACATCTTTTGCTGAGTGAAGTGAAACGAATATCGACCCGAAGTAGTGATTGGGCTGTATACTTATCTCCAGAACTGCTAAATAACACTTTTTAATTGATGTTTTCGATTCGAAAGTAAAACGTGGGATCGTATATGCGAAGACTATGAAATTTAATGAGCTTAGATTGGAATTGTTATTTTTAGAACATCTTTTCTGATAAATAATTAGGTGTTTAATTAATTTAAGACTCGAATGTGTGTGTGTGTTATAATAAATAAAAGTTAAATGATAAATAGAAAATTTTTTGTTTTAGATATAATTTAATTATCCTTGTATTTATATATATATGAAAGAAATTTGTATTATATATCAAAAACAAGAAATAATAGATAATGAACATAACAAGAAGTAGCGTAATAAAAATATAAAAGCTAAACATGAAGATCAAAATTATAGAAAAATAAAAAAAGAAACTACAAAAAAGAAGAACCTAGCGAGTCAGAAAGCAATTTCGGACTTAGGACCGAATAAGTGGGGTTAAACTAGTTTAAAGGCGCCAACCTTCCCCCTTTGCAACTCGGTAGGAAAAACCATTTAAAATAAAATAAACAAAAATGCAGAGTATGTAAAAACTCAGAGAGTATATATATATGATAAAACCACTCACTACTATTTTATAACAAACTCACCCAAATTCTTAATGCAGAAAAATCGCAAAACAATTACGTAAGAAAAGTAGAAAAATCCTAAAACAATTACATAAGAAAAGTATTTTTCAAAAAATAATTTAACAAAATTTCTTTACTCACAGAGCTTTTACCAAGAGAATCAAGCGTCTTGACATCAAAGAAAATAAATTATTCACCAAGTTAAAAAATTCGAATATACATAAACACATTTTTTGAGCTAACTTTTAAACCAGCCAGAAAAGACAGATATCAAAAGAGACGACAATCAAATATAGTAGAATTTGAATTGGTTGATTGTCAAAAATGTAAATTTGCTAGGCTCTAATTTGGTTGGTTATCAACAATGTGTAAGATATATATATATAATAGTTCTGAAAATTTGTTAATAGTTTCAGTACTAGTTAAAAAAAATAAAAAGCACACATGGAATTTTAATACTATTTAAAAATCTAAAGGATTTAAAAAACGGAAGCAGATAGAATTTTGAAAAAAATTTTATATATTAAGCTAGAAAAAATTCATACTTTTTTGTGCTTTGGGTGAAGTATCCTAAATTCTTTTTTGAAACATTTTCCCTCGCAGAATCATTCATCTGGCAAGATTTGTCTCTGAAAAATTTCCAAGGAAAGATAACTTTCTTTTTTAAGCCTCTTCACTTTCTGTGTATCTTGTATGATACAGAAAAATTATGTGCTCCTCCTTACTTGACTTACCATGTTAGAAATTTAAATTTACGATTTTTTATGAAGTAAAAGATTTTGTCGCTTTAGATAAGCCACATATTTTACCTTGGATAAGTGCTTATATACGCATAATGTATCTTCTCATATTCTTTTTATTTTTCCGATTTTTAGATTAAGTTGAATAATTGTTTTTAATGTAACTAAAAGCATTTGCACCTGTAAGGCTTTATAAAAATTCTAAGGTTCTTCTCAACGTATTCTAGACTTTCTTTTGACTTACTTTTTTAAATTCTGTGTGATTGATTTTTAATTTTCATTTTTTTATTCTGATCAGTTAATCATCAAAAAAGTCAGTCTCGAAAACTCTTAACATTTTTCCCTTCACATTTCATTACTCCTGATAATTTGATAAATATCGATTCTATACATGCAGAGAAATACAGGGTCTGTCCCAAA